AGTATTATCTTGACATTTCGCACGACATTCAAACCAGTCTTAAATATTCGGATCCCCGATGTGTTGGTCTTCCTTTTGGACTCGACCACCATCATGCATGTACTTAGGTATGTGCAAAAACTGAATCTGATTAATTGGACATACATGCCAGGTATGGCCACTGTCACTGTTTCATCGCCCTCAGCCGCGCTCCGCGAGCTCGGATCGTCTGGGAACACCCGTTGTTTCATGTTTGATATAATGTGGACATCTACGCGGATCCGTATATGCATGTTTCTATCAGCATAGCCGCACCACCTGTCAGTGTAAGGCTGACGGGTACCTAGTAGGCCAGGTACTACTAGTACTTTCGTAAGTTATTAGTAACGGCCGTCAGTTTGGACGCGCGCCCCGCGGCCTTATATCAATCGATAGCCTGAAAAAGGCCTCAGGTGCACTTTTAAAGGCCACTCATTGTTTTTTCCTCGTCCGAACTTGATGAGTACCGCTCTATACGTCGACGCTGGCATTCAGGCATCCAAGGTGGGCACCATGCCAAATTTTTGACACGTCTCGAGGTTTCTCATCGATCCCTTTATGATACACCTAGTACTGCAATGGTTTGAATTCCTGTCAGCTGTTCTTAGAGTACCGTATTTGACTGAACCATCCAGTCGGAACATTTGCTGTTTTAGTGAGTGCCTTGACTAACTGGGATTCTCGGGGGAGTAGTATGTGATGCTAATCTACTTATTTAACTAGGTTTTTGACTATTGCATCACTCTAGAGGCAGAGGTACGTGCAGTGCACCAATCACAGAAATCCTCCATGACTGCCAGAAAAGTCGCAGTGGGTATGGCACCGAAAATGGACGTTGGTGCGATTTATATTCACCCTATCGCGGTACTTGCCATTCTTTGGCATTGGGATGACATTCGTGGGTAAGTTACAAATATCGACACACTGGCTTTGCGCGAAAATTGCTCATGGCTGACGGGTAGCTGCGTTTCGAACACAATACTATCCTGGTGAAAGTGTGAGTTATGCCACCTTGCCACCTCTTACATGCGCAAATATTCATGACAACTGTGTAGTGTGTTGTGTATGGAAAGGCGTCCAATGGTCAGTATGAAAAGCCCAAATATATGTCGATTTGCTCATTCATCACATGCTCAGTGTTGCACATTCTGTCCATTTTAGCTGCAGAAGGTTTGTGGTGTCTTGAATGACCCCTCAAAATTGACACCATCCTCTAGGATTGCTAATAACGAGGATATATGCTTCATGGAACAGCAAGCGTCTTTTGATATCCTTATTGGTATTTTCTGCAGTAAGTTTTTGGTTCGCCTTTTATCACGAAGACCTGACGTCGAACAACACGGTCAGATTTGTGTGGTCACTTCTTATATCCTCTCGGACACCAAACTGGTACCTAATTCTACAAACACGACCCCAATTTACTTTCCGAACATGATCGGTGTTGACATACGTTAGTGAGGTGGCCTTGATTTCTGTAACAATTATGCTCACGATGGACAGCGGATCCGGGCGATTGTCTTTTTATAGGCGGGAGAAACAATGTCTTTAACTACGCTGCATTGTTACTTTATGAACTGGGTCAGTTGTCTCGACTCCCAAGATTTCTGTACTTACGCATGAGTCAGTTCTCTCCTGCTTGATGTTGTTCATCAGGTTCAGAAGATACCGGGGTACTGTTGGGCTACTCCAACGAACATTTTTCAATGATACCATGAAGTATATGATTTGCATCATGAGTAAGATAATTTTGTTCGTCAACGCAGTCCCTGCTGACTTCTTAATTCCAAGTCATGTCCTCATTCAGTATCCTCTTGACCATGTTGTCTCCGGTATGTTTCGTTACAGTACACCTAGCTTGATGTTCATTCGCTCATTTTTGGGCACAGGGTACATGGGTTTCTATCACAAACTCGTGAGTACAACAATCAACGGCCTCGCATCCGCACATGCACCAACATAACATATCTCTAGTCCGGAGATCGTCATTCACAGCGTCCTGGCCTCTCGCATACTTTTCAACATACGAGAAAGTGAAGGACGCTCGGGAACAGAGCCTCAGGTGGAGATATCTGATATTCAATTCGCAAGGCCATCCCCTCAATGCTGAGATTCGAGGTTTCATGAAGATTATGGGTGGAGTACAGGGCTAGTCCCAGCACGTATATGTTTCATTGTCAAATACTGGGTAGTCGGCTTACGAAGGATAGCACACCGTCGACTGTGAAGTATTCGCCGTTTCACCTTCACCCACTTCACCGTAGCTTAGCACTATCGTAAGTCCTTTGTTCACGCCCACACCCCTCATAACAGCATTCGCAGCAGCGTTTGCATAGCCATGTTAGTTCCTTGGCACAGCACCCAGCCTCCCATTTTATCCTTGCTTAGCATGTACAACATTCTTCGGATATTGTCTGTAACAAGCTAGGAGAATGAGGCCTACGGGGGCACATTGCTATGTGCGAAGTCGTGAGTTGGTCGCGACCAGGTGGACGCGTGAGTTGTTGGCTAATGACGGAGATTCGTCTCTTGGGTCATGCCAGATTCCCACAATCCTCCACATGGATGCGGTTTTCTTCGTCTCATGAAAGTCTTCGACCGACGACGACACTTCCATGGCCACTTTGAAAGGTTTTACTTTTACAGACAACGTGGAAGCACCGAAAACGAGACTGGGGAAGAGACTACTACGCTGAATCGAGCGCTGATGCTGATTTCTAGGCCAGCATGATATCGGTGAGCGTGATTGGATTAGCGTCATGTGCATTTTGATCATGAAGTCAGTTGCGAATTTCCATATGGATTTATCACATTTCGAACTTGTTACGCCGAACATGCAGATAAACACAAGTTGATCTTGGAACGAGGCCTCGGATCGGCCAAAGGGGGAGTTGTGTAGCTGCCTGTCATACGCCATAATCGGATGCAAACAAAGAAAACTGTTGTCGTTCGGACTTGGCAAAACACTGCTACTTAGATAGGTCCATATGTGCGAAACGCTGATGCAGCAGGTTAGGTCCCGTTAGGGAGCCTAGATAATGTTCCTGGTGCCACTGCCACTGATCAATATCAATCGGCAACCTTATTCCTTGATGATCCAATGGTGATCAATCATTAATCATTGTCCGCATACTTACTAACGATCTCGCTAGGAACGCGCTAGAAGACGCTTCAAATTGATCTCACCATGACCGGTCAACCCCTGGTGGCATGGATCCGTGTTACAACGCTTGACATGCCACATCAGCTTAGCACACTGTGTCGGACAGGTATCTATGACAGGGACTTTTGTAATAGCCGCATCTGAGCCCTGGCGCCAGTTATGTGTGCTTAGTATATTCGGTAGAATACACCGAGAAGTGCAGCTTAAAGCCCACCTTGCTGTTTCATCGCTTCTTGATGGGTACCACTCTTTACGTCGACGCTGGCATTCAGGCATCCAAGGTGTGCAACATGCAAAGTTTCTGACAACTCTATTTGACTCCTGATCCACCTAGTACTGCAATGGTTTGGAATTTGGATCTTTTTTTGAGTACTGTCTTTGACTGAACCAATCCAGTCGGAACATTTGCTGTTTTAGTGAGTCGATTGACTAATTTCTTGGGGGATGTGATGCTAATCTCGACTAGGCTTTTGACTATTGCATTACACTAGAGGCAGAGGTACGTGCCGTTTACCAATCACAGAATCCCTCAATGACCGCTGGAAAGTCACAATGGGTCTGGCACCGAAAATGGACGTTTGTGCGATCTATATTTACCATATCGCGGTACTTGCCATTCTTTGGCATTGGGATGACATTTGCGGGTGAGCTACACTGTTGACTTGGTTTTGCCAAAGATTGCTCATAGTCAACGGGCAGCTGCACTTCGAACACAATACTATCCTGGTGAAAGTGTGAGTCGTGAAACCCCTCATGTGCGCAAATATTCATAATGTATAGTGTGCTGAGTATGGAAAGGCGTCCAATGGTCAGTATGAAAAGCCTGAATATACGTCATTTTGTTCATTCATCATATGCTCAGTGTTGCACATTCTGTCCATTGTAGCTGCAGAAGGTTTGTGGTGTCTTAAATGGACCCTCAAAATTGACACCATCATCCTCTAGGATTGCTAATAACGAGGATATATGCTTCATGGAACAGCAAGCGTCTTTTAATATCCTTATTGGTATTTTCTGCAGTAAGTTGATGGTTCGCCTTTTATCACGAAGACCTGATGTCGAACCAGACGGTCAGATATGTGTGGTCACCTCTTATATCCTCTCGGACACCAAACTGGTACCCAATTCTACGAACACGACCCCGATTGACTTACCAAACATGATCGGTGTTGACATACGTTAGTGAGGTGTCCTTGGTTTCTGTGACGATTATGCTCACGATGGGCAGCGGATCCGGGCGATTGTCTTTTCATGGGTGGGAGAAACAATGTCTTCAACTACGTTGCATTGTTACTCTATGAACTAGGTCAGTCATGTCGTCTATCCTTATTCCTGATTCCTGTACTCACGTATGAGTCAGTTCTCTTCTGCTTGATGTTGTTCGTCAGGTTTAGACGGTACAAGAATACTGTCGGACTGCTCCAAAAACGATTCTTCAATGATACGCTAAAATATATGATTTGCATCATAGGTGAGATAAACACTGTTCATAAATGCGGACCCTGCTGACTTCTTAACCTCAAGTTATGTCTTCATTCAGTATCCTCTTGACTATGTTCCCTCCGGTGCGTTGTAGTAGACCTTAGGTTGATCTTCATGCGCTTAATGTTGAGTACAGGTTACATGGGTTTCCATCACAGACTCGTGAGTAAAACAATATCAACAACCCCGAATTGCACCAACATAATATATATTTAGTCCGCAGATCGTCATTCACAGCGTCCTGGCCTCTCGCATTCTTTTCAGCCTACGAGAAAGTGAAGGACGCTTGGGAACTCGACACACATCGGGGGAACCTCTATCTGAGATTCAATTCGCAGGAGGTCAGGTCTCGACGTTGAGATTCGAGGATCCATCTGTGTAGTAGTGCTGCAGGGCTGGTCCCAGTCCGTATGATTATTAATTGTGAATGAATAAGACGATGTTATTGAACAATGTCTGAACATAGCGTAGGGGAAAGATATTCCACAAATCATCCAAACAATGTGAACGATGAGCGTGACTCAGCTTGATAGTGGATTTCGAAACAAGTCTTCCACGCCTGATCACGCGAGAGAATCGCCTCATAGTCATAAAGATGGGTGCAACGTTCATCCCATGGCGTGCTGACACAAAACTAAGGTCTTTGAATATCTGTTGATCTAGGCAGGAAGGAAGGACCATGTGAATAGAAGGATATGGTTGGCATAAAAACTGGCGAGAACAAAGTGTATCATAGACTCGCAACCATGACCTAACTTCCCACACAATGAGCGTACGGGGAACAGAATATGGGGAAGACAGTATCTTCCTGACTTACTATGCTGCGCTTGAAGAACTAGTCGCAAGTAAGATGAACATCACGCAGGAGATCCTGAGGCTCAGGATGGAAATCTTAGGCAATGTGAAGATCGTCAATTGTAGACCAGGCGATAAGTTCACGTTACTTACATTGACGAGGCTGCCAACTTTGATAGGTGAAATATGCATGCGAGCACGAACAGTGCATCAACCGTGCTTCCATCCGGACGTTGTTGCACTGGGGGTGCTTAGTGGAGGTTGCATTGAGGTCCAGAAGAATTTAAAGAAGAATTATAAGGTAGCGAGTCGACTCGCACTCGAATAGAAGACGATGCCGCACAATTTACGTCGAGACTCGAATGAATAACTCTGCTAAAGCGTGAGAGACAGGTAGATGCGAAATCGAGATGACTACACCGCGAGAGTATCAGGGAAATAACATCATGTACACAGGTATGGTAGAGAATCCATGATCAACGACTCGTAACTCCGTACCAGACGAAAGCAATACAACTACACACCAATATGAATAAAAACCATTCTCTGCTCGAGCGGCACTTTCGTTTTCACAGCGTGAGTAGCACGATTCAGTGCCCAAGCCGCCTTCGTACAGTCCATGAACCCGCCATCCTCCACATGCTTAACCATATTCTCGTAGAACGCTTCAACGACGTGTTTGGCGACAGCTCGTCAACCTCCCACAGCGTGCCAATGACGCTCTTGAACCCTGAAAACTGAAGTCCAGCTGTGAGATGGATGACTTCGTCGGGCGTCTCCTTATCGCCGACGGCAGTATGACACGCTGATAAGAACGCGAATTCACCATGCGGAATGTCTTTCTCCATGATGTCGAGCAGCGTGAGAGGTGCGTCCTTCATGACGAAATGGGGATTGTACGGCTGGTCGTGGTCCTGCTTGCCGTGACATGCGAGGTGCACCCAGGTGTTCTGTTCCAGGGCTTTGAGTGCATCTGCTTGTGTGGCTGCGTCGCCAGCAACAGTGGAATGGTTGGCCGTCGAGAGGACAAGCTTATGGATAAGCTCGAGCTCGCCATCGACAGCCAAGAGCGCCTTGCCATTCCCTCCACCCGGTTGACCCTGTCCGATTGCTACAAATGATGGAGGCACACGTTTCCACGGTCAGAATGTCCCTCGGGGCACAGAGAAATAGCTTCATGACCAAGTTGTATGCTCTCATCTAGATCATCAAAGCTGCCGCGCTGGCTAAAGCGTGTTACGAGAGCCCATGACAGTTTGTCGAGGGCCCCGGGACGGTATTTCTGGCCCAGTGGGCAGAGCTCGAGCACGACTCGTCGAAGGTAGATGCCTTCGTCAGACGCATCAATCGGAAGATCGTTGCATTCGACAATCACATAATCAACCGCACTGTCAACACCGATGCTACGAAGGTAGGTGCCCTCTGGACAGAGGGGCAGTAGCTTGCAGCACAACTGCAGGGATTCGTGAATGAAGACGGCGATGCGCTCCTTGCTGCAGCGCCTGTTCAATGCGAAAATGAGATGAAAGAGAGATAATGTGTGGTTGTGATGGCCCTGCAGACGCAATGCAAGGGCTTCGCGGAAGAGGGAAGTGGTGGTATCTATGTCTTGGAGATCGCTTTGAATGTAGCATTGAAGGCGGGCCCACGCGAGGTTGGTGAGAGCCGCTGCGTGGTCAGGATGGTCGACCGGACAGCGGTCCAGAACCAACTGAAAACGCTCTACAGCACCGTTCAGGTGAGAGACCCCCTTCTCGTGTCTTATGTATCTGGAGAATTGTACATGGCCCGCATCTGTTTCTCGAGCAATCTCGCGATCTACGAGGGACTACCGTTGGTGTTCTGTCAGCACAACTGACAGGACAAAGTCTGGGGTCACTCACGTCAAGTAGTGCACCGTCCTGATTATCGCTAGCATGTACAACGGTGGCCTTGAGCGTGAGCGAAGGATTGACACCACGAACGGGTGGGAAGGACAGTTCTACGGGATGTGAGTATATGTGCAGGAATGAGAAGTAGGTTGCTCACCGAATGGTTCATCTCCATGATCGAGTAACTCATCCCGTGATGGTTGAAGTCTTCCGATGATTTCACCATTGCCCAGCGTTCGATCGAGCTCAAAGGACGCTCTAATCTCCATTGATAATGCAGGTGACTCGTAAAATGAACTATAAATCGAAAATCAGTCTTGAATCGCGTCCGAAAGTTTCTATGGACTTTACAGGGTCATGGTATCTCCCCACGCTACGGATGCGTCGGATGATAAGACGCTGATGGCTGATTTCCAGCGTCTCCTTGAGTCGACATTAATGGACACGTAAATGCCTGCGGGTATGCGCTCAGAAGGGACTTGAAGATTTTTTGCGCCGGTCACTGTAGATGGAGCGAGAATATCACAAAAGAGATCCCAAGGTGATACGGAGTGAGCTACTTTCAAGTCTTATAGATTGGGTTTCTGCGCTGCCGGGCATGATGGAATGATGAAGCCAAAGGATGAGGATCGAGGATGGGCTTAGTTATGGGTTGAATGAGTGGTAGAAGAAGACGGAGTAGGGATATGTGGACCGTGAATGGAGATCAGCCGAGAGAAGAGTTTGGGTTCGGGTGATGGTTACATGCATGTGTATTTGCATCATGTTGTCGAGGGTTGTTCGGCAAAATAGACGCCGGTATGATTGAACTAAGCGCTGAGACGAAAGATGACCGAGTGGAGGTCAGACACATCAGCGAAAGTGGCACGCCAACGTTATGCGAGACTCTGAGCGTCCTGTGATGTTTGCTTCTCCTTACAATCGAGTTGATAGTACTAGTGCCATGGCATTTTGGAAACACCAGAAACGGGTTGCGAGAATATGAGTCGGACTCGTTCGCTGAATGCCGCAGACGATTCAGATACAGAGTATGAATGCGACCTGAAAGACAATCAGCTTTGGTAGATCAACCTTTACAATCACAATGAGAGTGAATGCGCAACAAGAGAAAGAAGAAGAAGCACAGCCACCCATTGCGCTTCTTCTTCTGCTTCTTCTGCCTCTTCTTCCACTTTCATAGTATCATACCCTCACTCGTGGCATGTAGCCCTCAGTTCCATCCGTCACCCGGCGCAAAACTCAACAAACGAAAAACAGACGGTTGTCTGAAACATCATAGCTACATGCCGAACCACGCCTGCATCTGATTTGCACCCTTTATAGACGACACTGGATCTCCCCGACTTACCTTCTCACATCACTTTGCTAACTTGGCTGCTAACTTGGCTTGGTTGTGGTCCAGTTACGATCAAAAGCGTGGAAGGCCGTGGGGATAACTGTGAGATTATGCTTATGCTGGCCAAGTTATTTCACCCTCGTACGCGGCCTGATCTTCAGGTTTGTCCATCATAAGCAGTGACCTCTCGTGGTCCGCACTGAGTTTTTTTTTGAAGTAAACTTGTGATTGACGCTGATTATTTTCAAGATCGTTCTGCAGGTGATCACTACGAACAGCACTCTGCGGACACCAGGGACAACATCATGGACACCGTTCACGGGAGACATTGTTTTCCAAACGACCAGCTCCAGTCTGACGCGCTACCATATGTGATTTCATGACACATCTCTATCCCCGCCATCCAATACCACCCCCCGCGAATTTCCGTTGACGTGTTCGGGGCTGCTGAAAGGGCTCCTCCATGGCAAGTGGACTCCGCACTTCAGCGCTTCAGCTGCCAGACACATCATACATGTATTCACGTGTTCCATGCGGGCGGTCATATTGTTTATATGGCATTCCTTTCATATGTAGGCTGTGCTATATCGATCGTTAGTGTTGCATGAATTCCAGATTTTTCAATGCGCCGCATAGAACCGAAAATGAGGAAATGACATTACGAAGTTTTGTTCTAGAGTCAAGCCAAGAAGGTTAAGTGAGGAGTGTGAACAGGCGACCATCTGATCGAGGATATGGAACGCGGTGGCCTACGGCCCTTGTACTAGTATATTATAAATAGACCCCTGACTCGTGGGTAGTCCCTGCCTGCGGAATCCCTACTCAACCGGTAACCTTCGTCCATTTCAAAATTTTTCAACCCATATCATACCCTGTTTGCCCTAGTACCGCGATACTAATTGTACACGATCTATGGTAGATTACACTTGTACACCGTCATACATCTGCAGGTCTATCTAGCACCGTATTACGATAATGAGTGGATGGAGTCCAGAACTAAATGATACTACCAGATCATGAAGCATCGCTGAGCCAAACCTTCAGCTGCCGCGCAAGTTTCTTTGCGGTGACCTCTAGCTTCTCGTCTCTCGTCCGTGCCACATCCACAATCGTCCGTTTCCTACCTGAAGCTGTTAGCACGAGGCCAACCCGCCTCGGTGAGAACGAAATAGACAGCGCACTGAATGGCACTGGTGCAGGGTCTGATGTATGTTTGCTTGTGCTTGCGAATCCAGTTCCACTGTTATTCGCCCTGAAAATAGTAGACGGTGAAGACGGGATGTTCGCTCCAGACGGGTTTGTATGCACAACTCCCTCGCGGATACCATAGTGTCGAACGAGGTCCTCTAGCCGGCTGCGCGGCTGCATGAGGTCGAAAAGGTCTTTGAACGAATCCTCTCGCTCGAGGTGAAGCGATGAGTCATCGAGCATGACATCTTCATGGACCTTGAGTGCAATGAAGAGGTCGAGAACTTTGGTTTCCCGCTGCAGGGTATCAACAGACGAAGTAGAAGCCGAGGAAGAAAATGGGAATGGATCAGATGAATAGGGAGGGCGTATCATTGAATCGTATGCGGGTAAATATGTGGAGCGCAGCACATGCTCACAAGCTTCATTGGCAAGGTGAGTTCCGGCCGTCAAAGGATTTGAACAGCACGCACCAATGTAAAATGAACGATTGACCAGCCGGAGTTGTGTGGAGAGCCAACAAAGTGTCTTTCTCTGTCGTTCAATCTTTCCCTCGTCAATCCCGGGTGTTTGTGGAAATGTCATGTAGACGATCTTCAACAACAGGTGGGGAGGTACATCAGATGGTTTGGCTGTTCCATGATGTTCATCAGGGAAGGGGGGTGGGGGTATAGTGCTATTAGGGACGTAAGGAGGGGGTGGAACAGACTGCATGCACTTCTCCTCCACGATGACCATAATGATCTCTGCGGATGTGAGGATGGCCTTTATAGACAAATGGAGTTATTCTGGTCTCCGGAAGCAATATAGGCTGTTGCACAGTGATTCGTAGTGTAGCCTAGGTGAAAACGAACGCTGATGCGGCAAAATCTGGTTGATCTGGCTGAGGAGGCGATGGATGGACAAAGAACAGCATAGCTTCGTCAATAAGTTAACCCGTCAAGTACAGTGCCACGGTGCAGCGCTTTGCACAGCACCACGTGATCAAAGTTAAATCTTATCACTGATATCATATTTTATACGGCATAATCGCAGTATGCTCTGCCCCATGCAGGACAACTTCCGTTATGTAAATCATGCTTCTGTCCACAGCAGAAAGCCAGTGTCGGGTGCGTATCATCGGGGGCTTTGTGCCCCTCTCACAGAGAGATGCGATGCGCTATTGAAATGAAGTATAATGTGGTACAGTGATTGAGCAACTCGCCGATTCAAGTTCTTGCCCGACAGTGATACAGTAATGAAAGGCATTGCGTGGTTTTAGAAGACATGTAAGAAGATGATGAATGCGAAAACAGTCTGCGAACGACAGCGTCATATTTCTAATCATTGAGTACCACTATGGGGTAGCTGCGTCAATGCCAGTGAGCGTTTGCAGAGGAACGGTGACTTACCGATCAAGCCGTCTCTTTGAAGTCCTCGTTTGTCAGCCGTCGAGCACCCAATAGCTTCCCGACGTGCGTAGGCAAGTATCCCATTCCCTTGCGGCGGATACTGAAAAGCGCTTTCAACATGGGGATAGGCGATTGTTGGAAAGTGTCAGGGAAATCTGCAGCTGGAGGCCGATGCTCCGGTCTGATGAATCCATCACTTTGAATCTCAAAGTCACCCTGGTCCTTGAGATCTGCAGTGTTTTTTTTTTTTTTTTTTTTTTTTAATCCATTTTATTGTCTTCTTGGGGCAGCGCCCTATGTAGACAGTACATGCTATATAATACTTATGTTACTTTTCGAGGGTGAAGGCATTGGTGTAATTCAGAACCATTGGCTCGCACTCCGTACTGGGGTTTGGAGTGGTGGAGCGTTATGAAGCCAACCTGAGGCTAAAAGAATTGGGGGGAGCGTGCGCGAGTGCCCTAGGTTTGTGACTGGGGATTTTGTACTGCTGGTGGGGCTGTGCGAGTTGGGTCTGGGAATGCGCTTGGGGCGAGATGGCTCAGCTCCGTTTTTAGGCGTTTTCGATCGGTGCGACGTTTCCAAAAGCGTTCTCTAGGCGTTTGGTTGCAGCTATGTACTTGAAGAGGTTGGGGAGGAATTCCCCGTTGCTAAGGAGTCGGCGGATGTGGTAGGCGCGGTTTGGCATTGATCTTTGCAGGACATCTCGTTGTGCTCGGTATGCGGGGCATTCCATCAAGTAGTGGTGCACTGTCTCCTCGCTCTCTTCGCACGCTGGGCAGGTTGGTGTTTCTGCGCCCCTTATGCGGTGGAGGTGCTTGTTGAGTGGGGCATGGCCCGTTCTCAACTGCATAAGGAGGCTTGCCTGTCTTCTGGGTAGGTCTGTGACCAGCTTCTGGAAACGGTTTGAGGGGATACCGTCGTCTATTTTTTTGAGGAGCGGGTAGCGTGGTGAGTCGTGCATGACCTTCTGACCTTCGCACTTGAGTTGGTCGTAGCGTCGTTGTTTCAGCGCCGATTTGCTGCACGGGAGTTGGATTGTGGAGGTGAGTCCGTTGCGTTTGTGTTTTCGTAGGCAGTTGGGTAGGCTGTTTGGTGGGCTGGACAGTCCACCTGCCGCTTTCTTGGCTTCAACGTCGGCTGACTCGTTCCCTTCTATGTCCACATGTCCTGGGGTCCAGTGGATTGTTATGTAGTCCTCGTCTCGTTTGATTAGCGCGCGTTCGAGGATTCTATGGAACATATCCATGAGGTAATGGCCCGGATTGGTTCTGAAGGACTGCGTGGCTAGAATGGCCGCTTGGTTGTCGACGCATAGTCTGGCTGAGGGTTTTCCTGGTTCGCGACGTAGCAGTTCTGCGCCCAGAATCATGCCTACTATCTCGGCCTCGTAGACTGTGTGCTTGGTCGCCGGTCCAAGGTGGAAGTGTAAGGTCTTCTGTTCATGTCCTTCTCTCGTGAGTACCGCTGCTGCTCCAACTCCTCCATCTATCGCTGATCCATCTGAATAGATCCTCACTACCTCTTCTGCTTCCTCGTCCTCTCTGGCCGCTTCTTCCTTCGTAGGTGCGATTCTGATCTTTGCGTCTGGGTCCCATTTGGGGTTGTGGCGGACTGCGTCTACCTTCTCTATCGTCCTGGGGTCAATGGAGAATTCTCGGAGGAGTTCGTGTATGGGCGTCCTGTGGTGTTTCCTTTGGCGGGTGGCTTTCCGGAGCTCATTATAGAGGGGGTGTGTTGGTGGTAGAGTAGACATTCTGAGGGATGCCCTGCAGCAGACTTTGCGTAGTAGCTGTTGAAAGGGGAGTATGTTGGCGTGTGCGTCTAGTGCATCCGTCGCCGTCGTTCGCATTCCTCCCGTTATGAGAATCGCTGCCATCCGTTGGACTCTCGCCATCTTCATCCCAAAGCCTCTCACTCCCCTTCCATTGTTCTTTCTACTCCTTCCTTTCTTCACTAGTCCCGCTCCCCACACGTCTATTGCGTACAACATCTTCGGTACCACCACTCCTTCGTACAGCTTTCTCATTAGTCTTCCTCGTATCCCTCTGGACGGCTTCGCCATTCTTCCGCACGCAAGTACGTACTTTGTGCCTTTTGCTAGGGCGTATGTAGCATGTTCCTTAAAGCGTAGTTCGTGATCAATTATAATGCCTAAGAATTTATGTGACTTAACGGGGGGTATACGTTGGCCGTTGATCGTGATGGGGATTCTTGGGATCGGGATGGTCTTATTGCGTTCTGTGGGGTGTTTCTCGCGTGATCTTGAAACACACAAGAGGGCCGTTTTCTCGAGTTCAAATTCGGCGTTCTGTTCCTTGCTCCACTGTAGTGCGCCGCCCTCTTTTTCCATAATTAGCGTGAGTTTATCGTTTGCCTCTTCGAAGGATCGGCCTCGTGCTATCAAGGCGACATCATCAATGAATCCGAGGGACATTGTGCCTTCGTGTTCGTCTGTCGTATCAAGTAAGTCAGCGTTGTAAAAGATGAACACGATGACGGAGAGAGGGCAGCCTTGGTCTATACCGCTTTCCACGTTGAATTCTTCTGATGTGTAGTCGTCGAATGAGAGTGTGGTTTTCCTGCCCTGTAGTCTCCTCTGGTACCACTCAATATATTCCTTGGGGATTCTCCGTTTGCGCATGTTGTGGAGTGCGCGTTCTACTACTACGCTGGGGAATGCGGCCTTTACGTCTAGGAAGAGCATTGAGACGAAGCGGTCAGTTGGGTGTGCCCAGGCGTCCATTGTGAATTTGGTCAGTAGGTGTAGGGAGTCGACCGTTGATCGTCCTGGCCTTCCTCCGAAATGCGTTGTGGGGAGTAAGTTGTGTTCCTCCGCGATCCAGACTAAGTCTTCTGATACGCACGATGAGAGTATCTTGGCCATTGTGTCGATTAGCGTGATTGGACGGTACGATTTAGGGAGGGTGTAGTTTGCGCGTCCAGGTTTGCGGAGTACTATTGTTGACGAGTGTTTCCACTGTTCTGGATAGACTTTTAGCGTGAAGGTAGCTCTAAAAATGGGACCTAGCTGTGGTGTGAGTAGTTCTCGTGCTTTGATGAATATTGAGTTGCCGACGCCGTTCGGTCCTGGTGCTTTGAAGGCTGAGAGTTTCTTGATTGCCCTATCTATCTGAGCGTCCGTTATGTTCTGGAACTCGCAGATGGGTTCTGGGTATCGGAAGTCGGGGTCCACATAGTTGTCAGCCGGGGGTTCTCTGAAGAAGGTTTTGTAGAGGAGTGCGCTCTTTTCCGCGTTGTCTTCCGCTGGTCTGTCTCCTGGTTTCTCTGCGAGGGTTGGGATGCGTGAGCGTATCCGGTCTGCTGGCGCATCTGTTAGGAAGTCGTGAATGTCCCAGATATTGCCCTCGTCGACGTCTTCCAGGTAGGTTTTCCAGTGTTCTTCCTTTGTTTTCTTCTGTAGTTCTGAGAAGTCGTTCCTGGCTCGCCGGTGTTCTTCATGGATGGGGTGCGTGGGTTCTTGGCGTTTCTTCTTGACTTTTCTGGCCAGCTTCTTTAGCTCTCGATTTGCGAGGTTGAGGTCTGCTGACCACCATCGTTTGGCATGGGGGGAGGGTTTGCTCATCGGGACTTTCGTTTCGATGGCTGTTAGTATGGCTGTTTGGAGGGTATGGAGTCTGACGTGAAAGTACTCTACCGTTTCTATCTCTTTTGGAGGCGGGAGAGCATCGAGGTTTTGCTTGAGGGTGTCGCAGAATTCTTCCCAGTCGGTTGCTCTGTAGTTACGTCGAGGTTTGGGGTCGATGTGTACTGGAGTGAGGTCCAACGTGCTGATTATGGGGAAGTGGTCTGCTGAGACCGGGCGGAGTTCTTCTTCTACGTCGCAGTAGATGAATGCGCTTAGCAGGTCTGTGCTGCAGAAGATGTTGTCCGGTCGTGTACGATTCTTTGTTCCCGTTGCTTCGAGTGTAGCTGTTCCTCTTGCTAGGGCCATGCGCATATCATGTTTGGCGAGAAGGTTAATGAGGGTGGCGGATCGTTGAAGGTTTGGTCCTGTAAATAAATGGTGGTTAGCGGTGTCGTCCCACATTGCGTCGTGGCAGTTGAAGTCCCCCATCCATATCATGCTGTCTGGGGTATTGTTCGTTGCCGTTAGGTTGTCGATGTGCTGCTCGAGTTCTGCTAGTGTGCGCATGTGTCGCCACGAGTTGTATACGTTATAGATTAGAATATTACCTGTGTTACCTTTGAGTTCGATTGCGGTTACATTGCTGTTCTTGAAAGGGACGTTCTTCCAGGTGTTTTTTGAAAGGCGTTTGTTCACTAGAATAATTGAGTTAGTACGTTCCGCTCCATTGTCGCCGTGCGTCGATGGGTAGACTATGTCCCATCGGGAGGAACTTGGGGCCAGATTGACCGGGTTGATGTATGGTTCTTGGATAATCGCTAGGTCGTAGTCGTTCGGGTTAAGGTTGCGTAGCATGTGTTCATGGGCGGCTTGCGCCGTGTGGAGGTTTTGTTGCCAGATTCTTAGATACGTGCGGTCAGGTTCTTTGTTTTGGGTGTGGCTATTCATGAGGGGGGTCCGGGGGAGAAGCTTCCTGGTATTGATGCGTTTGTTGAGTGTTGGAGTGGTAGGGGTGTCGAGGGAGGGGGAGTTGTTGAATAGGTGTTGGGGTGGTTCGGGCGGTTTGTTGGGGTGTTGACGTTCCGTTGGGTGCTTGCTGGGGTGTTCTGGGTGTTAGAGGGTCCTGGGTTGTTGTTGGATTCTTGTGCTGCGAAGAGGTCCGTGATTCTTGCTTGTCTCGCGCGTTCTCGCTGGGATGGTTGTCCGGTCGTCCTTTGTTGATTTGGCCAGCCGTGGTCGGTGGCGCGGGTCTGCTGTTGCGTTCTCGTCCTTCCTCCTCTGCTTTCCACTCGCGTCCAGTTCTGGTTTATTTGCTGCGGTCTTGGTCTTCCATAGTCTGCTTCGTGGGTGGCATTCTGCGTCCACTGGTTGAATGCTGGTGGTTGGTTAGTAGCGGGATTACCTTCTCCAGTTGTTTCCCAGGAATCTGGGTTGTTTTCCATAGGGAAATACTTGTAGCGTGCCTCCTCTGATTTGCTGTGCATCTTGTTGCTTCTGTTTATGAACATCGGGCAGTCGCGGCTCCAAGCGGCATGTCCCTGGAGGTTGCAATTGACGCAGTAATGGTGTTGGGGGTCCGCTTTGCCGAAGTCGCATTCTGAGGTTCGATGGTCCATTCCGCATGTTCCGCACGTGTCTACTGTTTGGCTGCAGGAACTTGCCATGTGTTCGCTAGTTAGTTGTTGACATTTTAGGCAGCGAGTGGGCTCTGGTAGCAGTTTGCGTGCTGAGATCTTGCGTCCTTCTATCATTAGGCCTAGTCGGATGGCTTGATTAGCGCTTTCGCGGTCTTTGCATGATATAGTGCAGAAAGCCGTCCTTTGGCCTGGGTTGCGGCGGGCGGGGGGTTTGATCCATTTCGCTTTGATGATTGATCCTGGGAGGAGTTTACTGGCTTTCTCTGTTTCTGTTAGTGACGAGGCTAGTTCCGGATTGAAAGTTGTTGGCACGTATTCCGCTATTACTTGAAAGGTCTTGTCTTTGATCATTGTGCTGCTTCCGAAGTGTTCGCTGAAAGATTTGCTATTGCTCTGGCATGAGAGCCAGGCTTTCGTGTTAGTACAGTCAACTTCGAAGATCACTCCTCCGTGTCGCAGTTTGCGGGCGCTTGTGAAAGCGGCGTCTTGTGGGACGTCCTTTTTGTCTGCTTTCATGTCCTCTAGCGCTTTGTTTGCCTTCCGGACTAGCTCTGCCTCAGATAGGTCCTTGAGACCCGAGGTTTCGCTGAGCGATTTGCGGTCTACGAGTATTTGCCTCGCTTGAGCTTCGCTTCGTGCTAGGGTGCTCGAGTCTGGTTTGGGGAGTCTACTCTGGAGGGCGTTTGAATACGTTCTCGCTTGGTTCATGTTGGTAGAGTCAGGATTAGTAGCATGGGTCTCGATGTTGGTTTCGTGTGTGGCCTCGACAGTCTTTTCGACTGCCTTCTCGAGTCTAGCCATTGCACTGTCGATCGAATCACGCACCTCGTTTACGAAGCTATCCAGCGCTGCTATCTTTCCGTCGTGTGCGTCCGCAGCTTTCTCCAGACGTTCTATGGCTCCTGCCATGTGGAAGGATGTTGTGAGTGCTATTTTGTTTGCTTGCTGTTCGTGTTCTGCTTGTCCCAGTAGGATTGCTATGGCCCTCAGAATTTCTCGTTGGAGTTGGGTGACTCCTGGGGCGCTTATCGTGAATTCGAAAATTGCTACAGCAAGGTCCTCTACTGTTGCTCCTGCTGCTGGTATAAGCATTCCTTTGCTGACTAGTTCGGCTCTTGCTGTAGCTGCGTCTGTTACCTTCGACGGGGGCGTCGGATTACTAATTAAGTTGGGAAGTGATCTGTTAGTTGGTCTAAGTAGCATGTTCTCTTTGTTGCGTTGACTGGACCGCGTAGGTGCGGTGTCGTCTTGACCTGTTGTGGACATTTTGTAGTTGAGTTTTTCGTTTTTGTGTTGTTTTCTAGGTATTTTCTTGGGTGGACTAGTTTATGTATATATGAGTTCTATTCGGGGCTGATACTGGGTTTGGTTTGGTCGTCGTTGACGGCGTTGACGCCGTCGGGCGTGTTGTTGAGTTTTTGATCCGGGGTCCTACTTCGGGGTGCCACTTGGTAGGTGACAAAGAAGCTTCAGATCTGCAGTGTAAATCCCTAACAAGCGACACAGCTTCGTATATGCGCGTAGTTGAGGAAAGTACAGTTGGCCAGCAAAGACGTTGAGCTGGCTGATGAGAGCGTCATGCGGCATCCATCGCGCAGGAAGTGATGGTGTGTGGTGTAAAGACGCAAGTCATCGCATGACTTCATCATCTTGATGACACGAGGTGTATAAGCGTGCAAGTGAACTTGCTTACTTGCCCGAATGTCAGGTAATAAAACATTGACCTCGAAGGGGCTGACAATGACTAGCACCTGGGCGCGAGATACCGTGCTCGAAAGAATCCAGTTGACTGGGCGGGCGTAGTGGTCCGTTTGGTCTGTGGTCACAACTGTTGTGGCAAAATCCCTTGAGGCAAACACCTCTCGCGACCACGGCTGATGCCCCGAAAAAGCAGCGGAAGTCGTGGTGAGAGTGTCGAAAACGGCTGTGAACGCACGAGATCCATCCGGAATGCGGCCTGTTCGGATGAAGCACCGGACGTCTTCGTCAATGCTATGGGTAGCAGCCGGAACTTGTGGCGGTCTCTCCACCTCGCGCTCGCGCTCAATCTCATGTACCATTTCTCTCTCCTGCTCTTCATCCAAGCGGTTATCAAGCAAATTGCCCAACCCAAGGCTGTTGTATCTCTCCAGAAGTTCGTCGTCTGGCGATGTCTGTGGAGCAGCTATGTCCGTCAGAACTGAAGCGTATAGCTGTTCCAAGCTCTTCGCCTCTGGCTGAAGCCACGAACTGGCGAGTTCGGTGGGCGTAATATCTTCAGATAAGAACGACGACCATGCACTGTGACGAGACCGGTAATCCACCCCATGCTGAAGCCATTGTGGAGCACGATGTTGAATGTCCGAGCACGTCTCATTCATCGCCCATACGAGGATATCCGACGCATGAATGTCCTCATCATCGTTCTTCCTATTCACGTCTCGGATGCTGCGATCTATTTCTGGAGGTGCAAAAAACATCACTGAGTGACCGTGACCGAGTTTTCTCATGCGCATGCAGCCTGGCAATATGTTACTGAATGCTATAAATGAACGTATACATTGCGTCCTCACCTTGGACAAGACGATCCTTGGTGACCTTTGGCCCTAATGTAACGGCTGCACGGAATCCCCGAGGTAGCTTGACGTCCGTTCCTCTGGTGTGTTCATCATCCAAATACAATACACACTGGTCCAGTCGCTGAGCAAAGGAAGATGCGGAGAATGGTTCTATGACGTGATCCCGGGTGCGCACTACAAGCTCATCGTGCTTGTTGAAATAAATCGCTGCCTGAACATCTTCGTTGATTTCTAGCCACCTCTTCGCCACTCCGTCATTCTGCAAGTCAAGCACTTGTGCACCCACGTCGAGCAAGACACGTATTTCCGGCGACTGCCTCGCAATGACATTAAGAAGCTCTTCAGCACTCCCACCGGCTGCATGCGAGCCATAATGATCATTCTCTTCCTGCAAAAGGTGACTGAGAACTCTGGCGTTCGTACCGCGCTGGTGGGCTAGTACATCTTGCGTTATGGTGGTAGGTAGCAAGTAGCGAAAATCGTTTGTTCCACTGAAGCCCGTAGTAGGCAAACCAGAAGACTTGCGCTCTGCAAGGTCCCAGGCAGAACAAGATAACTTGTGAGGAAACTCCTTCGCTTTTTTGGGGAAGACGAATTGAGCCAAAAAGAAGTCTACAACAGCCTTGTTGCGCCCGAAGAGAGGTACCAAACAGGAGGTGAACTGTTCAGTAGACTCCATGTTGATTGCACTGAGGTGTCGCAGGTTGTCTGGAAGCGAATACAAAGACAACCCCTTGATCCATGTCTCGTATTCCAATGCGGGATTGTCTTGCTTGAGTAGCTGGCGGAAGCAGAGGGCCACCTGTTTCTCAGTGAGGCCTTCGTAGTAGTACGAAAGACACGTGAGTGCGACTGCAATGTCTGGATGTCCAAATTCTGCCCGAGATGAAGGGACATCCTTGGCACGGTAAGGCACGGCGAGCATCGTGCGTTGAGGATCCAGACCGTAATCTACGCGCCATCGCCGGTCCTTCAGGGCGTATACCAGTATGCCGTGTGCGAGGAGTCCTCGAATGAGCAGTAGTCCATTCCACAGACTGGACCCAGCGCAATAGTTCCGGAGATCGTGAACGAGCTGCGGGCCGATAGTGGGGAGGGTAAAATACATGCGGATGGAACCTTTCATATGAGATGGAACATGTTCGAATGCGAAATTTGGAAGGCTACCGGCAAGGATGTCGTCACAAACCAGCTCGACCAACCTTTCGCCTGCGCGAACATCCAGAACTCTGAAAGGCGAGAAGGTTCCGATATCACCTGGCTGGAACTCTACTCCATGGGAACGTTCTTGATGAAGGCGGGAAGCATGATTTGCCACAAGGGTCATCACCTGCTGTGTTGTTGTCCATCGATCAGGATAACCTTCCAAGTGCTGTTGATCGCCCATAGTGTAGACGAGTTGGAAGCGGACATGCAGCAGTTCATCACTCTCGTCTAGTATGTCGCGAGTGTGCATATCAAGCCACCGCTGAGTATTCAGCAGGGGCATGGCCAGTTCTGTTGGGGATTGTCCAACCGTGTTTGCGGGAGGAAGCTGCCGTTCCACAGTCATCAACTTGAAAGAGAGAATGTGGTCTGGTTGAGCGACAAGGATACCACGAACGGCTCTGCACTCTTCGAACAGCGACTGGATGATGCTTGCATGGTTGGAAGTAATGGGCAAGGAACGCGAGAATGGCAGGTAGAAAATTCGCCTATTGGTAAGGCCGCCAAGCCGTTCCACGAGCAGCTGAAACATTTGCACAGCCAAAGGCTTTAGCACGACCACCCGTACCATATTGCTGCCATCTGCCAGTGCAGCGCAACATATGGGTACGATCACGGAAGACTTTCCCTCCCCCATATGAAGCTGCAGAGCGGTATTGTTGTGCGAGCTTGGGGAAATCATCTGGATGGCAACGCTGGCTTGCATGGGACGGATAAGAAATCGGTTCTCTGCCTAGTACCGTTAGTGATCGATCATGTCAATTGTTGACGACCATCGAATACCTGAATTAGAAGCCAGTCCACATATTCCCGTGTACCATCCACTCCTAGGTGACCGTCATTCACCAGCTCCTTCAGGAACTCCTCAATGTCCCCGCCAGCCGACTTCAACTTCAGAAGTCGTTGTGATCTCTGTAGTCGAAGCAGAATGAGTACGAAACTGGTCAAAGGGGCTTTCCAGGAGTCGCAAAGAGGGTTTTTTGATGTGGAGGCGAGAAAACCGAGAAGAAATGTGACAGTAACGCGCGGCCATTGCCCAGAATTGAACAAACTGTCCTCCGCTAAACCAACAGGAGCTAGATGCTCTTCCAATTTGCGAAAAGCATTTGTATAAATCTTATTGCACCACATGTGATGATGTTGCAGCATGTTGATTGTCCAGCGGGTTGGGTCCGGTGCGATGGCCGATCGTTCTTTCTCTAGATCAACTCTGCTGTCTTCTAGATGTTCAGCATAGCGGACACCAAAATGGTCCGATCGACATCGCGAAAAGTTCGAAATGACGCCCTCGAGTGGAGATGAATGAAGCCTGCCGCCAGAGGGTTTGTCGCTCAGTAAAGCGACACTTTGCTTGAGTGGATCAGGAAGTAATTTGATGACGGGAGGAGGCCTTCTGAATAAGTGATCGGTAAAGACCGCGGTGGTGACTGATATAACATCTGAATTGCTCGGAGTGAATGCGTATGATTGTGTGACGGACGGCGTCAAAGTCTCCTTCACTTTATCAAGTACATTCTGCACACGATCCAGATATGTCTTCAGATCCCTGTTGCGATAGCAGTTCGAGTATCGTGTTTCAAGGGCAGCACTAAGGTTGAACTTGTCATATCGGGAGCCGCTCAGACACTCCAGAGCGTGTGGCGGAACAGAACGGCTGGGCCAACAGCGAAGAAGGATATCGACTGCCGCTGTCTGTTCACGTAAACACTCGGTTTGGAAGCACTTTTGTCGCCGAATACTCAAGTCGTAGTCCGACTCGCCATAGTGACTAGACAGGGACGCCTCGGGACTATTGTGGAAGGTGGTATGGAAAGAGATGTGGTTGCAGATATCCCGCTCAAGGGGTTTTATCCCAAAAGAAAGGTCGTATGTGTCATATCCAGGGGAGTGGATTGCACGGAACTCGGGAATGGCTGCAAACGCGAACATGGTTGTGGCAAGTCCCACATTCTCCGGGGAGGAGTAAACCATGGCTGACAATGTGAAAGCGAGTTGGAATGTGTGAGTCTCCCGGTCTGCGTGGCGGCAAAGTTCGTAGACGGTCATCCACTTCTTAGCCCAGTCAGGCTTCAACCACTCTTGGTCATATAGAAGGGATACGCTGGGTCTTTCGCCAGAAATTTCATTCCACCGAACGAAGACATCGTACAGCGCCTGACAAGGCTCAAGTGCGACACTCCAGTCGCGCACCATACGTGCACAATCAAAGGTTTTTTGATCGTCGATCGAACAATGGAAAACATCCCTGGAAGTATATGCACTGCTCGAAGATTCGCTTGGATAGAAGGAACTGACTGGATCATGGGAGTAAAGGACGGTGGATCGCTGAGAGGCACGTTCCAGGAGTGACTCGTCGCGTGCGGGAAAGTTGGGACAAACTTCAACTGGTGTTTCGCTGAGTACCTGCAGCTTCTGTGCGTATTTGACTATGTTCCTGGTAGCATGATAGAATGCGCAGCTTTGGACATAAGATGATACGCCACATTGCCAGTGGACCTGAGAGCTCCTGCCAGTGATATGCCATGCCCGATCAACGGTCAAGGAGCCTATCCGAGCTAGAAGCTCGCAGTCGAATGTATCCAGCTTCATGAAGGAATAGCATGCGGCGGATTGTAACAAGTACATGGCTTCTTCCAAACCGGTGCGTTTAGTCAGTGGATCTGGAACATGGGCACTGCACACGGCGTGCAAGTACGCCTTGTAAAGTTTATTCCTGAGACCAACATTTCCCGTCAGGCGGCAGAGTTCCATGTCAATGGTGTAACAGTGATAGGGAAGGGGGACACGATTATGATCGGGATGGACGGTGACCTGGATATGGTGGCCTCTGGGCTCTACTTTGACATCACCTTGTGGGATGATGACGCAGCGGTTGCCGTAAGTTTGTCGATCTTTGGGGCGCAAAACGAGCTGGTTAACTAATCCGAACATTGTACCAGCGGACTGATCTTCGTCGACAACCATGCCGGGCTGATTGCACGAATGCAACTCCCCATCTCCGTCTATAAAGAATGAGAGTCCAAACCGAGGGAGATCGACCTTGACTACGTCCGCGCTGCAAGTGGCAACCATGTGTCGGATGTTTTCGAGTGGGCTCAGCGTGTTTGCTATCATGAGGAAAGTACGACTATGAATGTCAAGTAGAGTTGTTTGGCCTTGCTGTGCGACTGATTGCCCGTCCTCCGCGAATTGCAACTTCCAGTTCTTGTCGGATGGGTCCCACATTTTCTCCGCTGGACGAAATTCGATCGCACGAGTGCATAGGTTGAGCCAATGCACGTGATCATTGACTAGTAATGCGGGGAAGTCCAGCTCAAGTTTTTCCGGAGGTATCAACTCAAAGATGCGCCCATCCTCATGCTGTGACTGAATAACAACGTCCCCCGCGTCGCTGCGCATCCCAAAAGATATCTGCAAAAGGATAGCTAAGTTTTGGCTGTTGTTCGTTAACTTGGACCGTACCAACTTACCTTAAAGCCGTGTATAATGGACTTGGCAGCAAATTCTCCGCCAGGACTCTTTGTGGGGAAAACATCAAACACTTGCTACTCGGTGTTTTCAGATAACTGGCTGACTAACAAGGCGGAAAACTCACATGACCGAAGAGTGCAATGTAGCTAGGATGCCGCAGAAAGTAATCTGGCAGTCTGGTCAATGGTTTGCCATCAACCAATAGGCGAGCCGTCAACATATTAAGATGAATGGTTTGGCGAGATGGATCGTCCGAAGGCGCCGTTTCACATCCAAGCCACCGAGCGTTTGGAGATCCAAGGACTGTCCAGCGCGTGTGGCGTCGGTATGCAGGCCAGAGATGCTTCATAGCCTGATCAAGACCTTCTTGGTCATCTTCCACATGGCGTCGGAAATATATCTCCAGAAAGTGTGACAACCGACGGTTGCGTTCGAGAAGTAACCTCGGAATTGACGGGAGAGCATGTAGATCTAGAGGCACGTTATCCCTCACTGTAACAGAGCAGTACACCAAGATCTCCAAGTCCTGTGGCGATTCGAGGAGTTCTGCGATGTTGTCCGGGTCGGCATCATAGGTGCTCAGACAAATTGCTGCCATGTCACGAACGCGGGTTTGGCATTCACGACTAGACTTTTCGTCTGGAGCTTCTTGGAGAGCTTTGGATAGCTCTTGCACCCATTCAAATGTTGTATTTCGGACAGCTCGCAGCAACTTGTATGATCGCTGGATGACACTAAAATCCTCTGCTGATGAGAGAAGGCGGTATGCCAGGGCAGAGATTGTTGCCATTGTTATGCCCTCCAGCCAATTGGCTTCCACGCTTCCTTTTAAGCTTTGGAGCTCATCGATAAGGGCGTGCCCGAATTCTGAGGCTTTCAGTTCATCGTGCCATGCCCTAGACCCGTCGGCTGCAAGCTTTCCTACTTCCCAACTAGCCTGGAGCAGTAGCAAGTGAACCGCGGGATCACGAAGTGTGAGTGTGCGCGCTCGCAATTCACGGAGAATGTTGGTCCATTGTAGGAGGCTGCCACTCCGGAGGCTTCCAAAAGCGATGAATTCGTGAAGTGTCAACTCGGCATGACAAGTAGCCTGGTTGGCTAAGACCTCGTTGGAGGTGTGTTGGGTACCCGACAGGTAATATTGGAGTCCGTGATATGGACCTTTTGGCAACACGTGGGTACAGATATCGGATATATCAGTCTGTAGAAAAGGACCGGAAGCCCAAACACCTCTGGTCGTATCGTAAAGGAGGAAACGCAGATTATTGATATTGTTGACGAAGATGTCCCCTTCGGTGCATGGAAGGGATTTGCGTGAGGCCACGGGGGGTTTTGTCGCGGAGGCTAATGTGATACGTTGACCGGGATGCTCTACATGATAGGATGAGAGCGGCACATAATGCGGGAGCAACATGTACTGTGTCGCATTCGGCATCTGTTGTATAGTTGGGGTGCATATGTCGTGAAGAAAGTGGAAGGTGAAAGATCTCCACATCTTGAAAGCGATCGGTGCCTTGAGCTCAAATATCACTACCGCTACATCGTAGGCAGAGCCGGGAAGTGGCCATTCATGAACTTCTACAGAAAGGCTATCCCTCTCCTGCTGCTTGTCGCACCTGCTGCAATACCTGGAATGCTGGTGCCCACCCCATCGGTTCGTGTAGTAGCTGCACGTGAGAGCGTCAACTTCATTTGTGAGACGCCGGTACCTGTCGCTTTTGTCGCGAAGATCTGCAATTCGTCCTCTCCGCTCTGTATCCGCATCGTCTTCAATGCGCTGCTTGCAGGACTGCAGCTCCTCAGATTGGTGATAATAACGAACTGCGAACGTGTCTGCGTCCGCCCCATCCGAGAAGACCGAACGCGCACTGCGGGTGCGACGCCTAGCAACATACTGTTGAAGAATTCTGAGTCGTTCTATGGCGGCAGCTTTTTGTAGGAGAAGGCGGTTGAAAATGGAAACTGGGACCTCCGGAGAGTACTCCATGAGGAGAGGGATTGATTTGACAACCAGCCGATCAAGCGCGACCCAGAGTTCGAACAGCGTGAGCAGCATGATGGATATATTCTCTGGATTTCCGGAATAGGACGGTTGCGCTCTAGCGAAATAACTTTCCGCGCGCGCTTGAATGGTCAGGCAAGCGGCGTCAATGCAAGCAGCATCGAGGTTAATGACACGATTCACCCAGCCATCAATGTCCTGCTGGATGGCACATTCGAAATCCGAAAGTCCTACAAAGGGGTCCTTGGCATAAGTGCTCTCGAAGAAGTTGGCGTCAGGACCAATGAAGTTGTCAATATTACCCCGTGGGCGATGTTGAGGCTGAAATTCTGGCACAGTGGGTTGGTCATGGGTAGGACGTAAGACAGAGGTGATATACTCCTCGCTTTTGGTCAAAGAAAGCCTGGTGTCTCTGATTATATCTACCTTCGAGGCATCCCAATGATAGGGAGCTGTCTGAGCTGTCTGAGCTGTCTGAGCTGTCTGAGCTGCCTGAACAGTCTTCCAGCGCAGCTCCAGTCGGTCTTTGATATCTTGAGTAGCTTTATGCATCGCGATCGCTAAGAATTCGTCTTCAGCCTGAAGCTTGATCAAGCGGCGACTAATCTTAGTGGACATGAAGTAGAGCAGATCGCTCGACATATCCCCCTCAAGAGCTTTGGACACAAGGTCCATCATGAGCGAAGCCATGAAAGCCTTGTAACCGTTTCGCCCAAGGCTGGTGCGCTCGAGAGATGTCTGTAATACAACCCTTATGACAAGCCAGAGGGATGATCTTCGCCAAGGAAGCGTGGCGTCGGACTGTAAGACATCATCGCCTATGCGTTTTCGAATGCGAGGAATATCAGCCGGTTCGCCAAATGCGCGAAGAATGTTGGTAAGAAGCTGGGTGATATAGCGAGGATGTGCGGTCTCTCTTTTGTGGACTATGGAATCCAACACATCAAAGCTCATGTGCGAGAGAAAGTTCGCCAATTCGGGAGGAAAGGTAGGGTCATCCATGACTGCATTTGGGACGGCAATTGCGGGTCCTGGATACGAACACAGGAGCTTTCCCTTTGCCGCCATGACAGCAGTCGCCGGTGGTGAAACTTCGAAGGATTCAAAGATAGTTTTCGTGTCGAGCCTACGAAGTACGACAGCAGCATTTTGTGCTCGAATTAAATATGCAAGAATATCTACAAAACAAAGTATTGAGACGCGCGCTAAATTTTGTCGCAAAGGCTATGCGCATACCTCCTGCTTGCATGGATTCGATCTGAGACTCAGCGACGTCCTTGGTCTCGGTCAGGGAAGGAGAAGTCATTGCAACAACAAGACTCTCCAGCATCTTCAACAAAGGACTCCACTGCACCTGATCGTCGTGGAGCAAAGAACTCGCAAATTTGCGAGCCGAGCCCATCACGACATCAAGGAGGGAGCGATCGTTGTCGGGAGTATAATCACTGTTCTGCGGTAATGTGATGGGACAAAATATGTGGGTGATGATATACTCCAAGACATCAGGTTCGGAGGATTCTGCGACAGACATGTCAAGTAGCCTTGATTTGCGATATATGGTAGAAGTTTGTTGAAAGCTCTGAAGTGGGACGGTCTGGAGATCAGTTAGTTGAAAGTAGGAGCTTATAAGAAGCACAGGGAATCGCTCACATAACGCCTCGTGGCTTGGGCCCTTGGAGTACCCTCATACCTGGATCTGCGCTGAGCATTTTTGTCCGATGTGTGTGTCACTGCGTGGCCAATCTGTTATCGATCTAGCACCGGAAATGGTGTAAGATGCCTTCTGGCCGCAATGATAGACGATAACGATCTTTTAATGGGGAGGGGCAACACCCTGCCAATTTCAATCTCCGACAGTGACTAGTCTATAAGGGATTACCACTAGTTAGGCGTTAATGAATGGTCGCGTAATGTATCTACCGATACAGCTCAAACACATCACCAGTTGCTAAAACTTGAAGGGGGACAATGGCGTGAATTCCGAATCCAATTGTATTCTTGGTGCCACTTTTCAGAAAAACACGGTTTAGAAGGGGATGTATTCCAGCACAGGAGGCAGACAAGCAAATTTTTATTAAATTCCACCAAGAATACAATGAACGAGTAAATCTAGTGTATTCTAGATGGTCATTTACACACCAGCACAACGTAGTGGGGTGCGAGTGGTAGGTCAATGATTGTGAAGATTCACTGCTGAGTAAGCATAATAAACGCGTCGCGTCGTGTCACATCAAACATCCTGACACTCTCATCAGGGATCCGACGCGAAAAAGATAAAGATTGACAAAGCATTATCTAAAATAAAATGCGTATAAAATCTGTCATAATTGTACTCCAAATGAGAAAGCTTTAAATACCCGGAGTAAGTTGGATAGAACCTGCCAAATGCACAATGGTGACAGTCTCGCTGCAACTACCTGCCGGCTTATCGTCACAACGGGACAGGTTGCAACACCCAACAGTCGTGACAAGGGAATATTGAGTTGTTAAAAGTCTCCACCACTATCTAGTTGTGTATTAATTATAATGCACTACAATTTTGCCTGCCCTATGTACCCTTTGATTGTTTTTTCTTCGTTGACAATTTCCACATGAATGCCTAAGTCAGATCAAGCTTTATATGGCCGGACTGCGTTGGATCAAAGCTGCCGATGCCCCAACGATGTCATGTGATCATAGCGCAGCGCCTTGTTATCTCGATGTGGTTGTGATGTCGCCAAGTGCACAATGTGGGTAACAAACGACAATCTACTATGATCCTTCCCAATGCTTACAGGTTATCATCATCAGATATAAGGTGAGGGGGATATTTTATTCCTCGCAAACTCTAAACAAACGCTGGCTCTAGATACAGTCTTCGAAGACCAGGCTGTCTCTGATCGAGCTGCCTTTGGTCCAAAGGTGCGAAGCGATGACAACATCGTGCCATCCCCCAGCTGGTCGCCGAGGCTCGGTCATCAGATATAAGGTGAGCGGGATATTGTATTCCTCGCAAATTCTGAACAAACTCTGACACTAGATATAGTCTTCGAAGTCCAGGCTGTCTCTGATCGAGCTGCCTTTGGTCCAAGCGCGAGAAGCGACGACAACATCGTGCCATCCCCCAGCTGGTCGCCGAGGCTCGTTCATCAGATATAAGGTGAGCGGGATATCGTATTCCTCGCAAATTCTGAACAAACACTGACATTAGATATAGTCTTCGAAGACCAGGCTGTCTCTGATTGAGCTGCCTTTGGTCCAAGCGCGCGAAGCGATGACAACATCGTGCCATCCCCCAGCTGGTCGCCGAGGCTCGGTCATCACGTTCCATCTCAGTTGGTTATTTTCGATGGTCCCAGCTTACGCGGGGTTTAGCTGAAGGTCAGTTATCTTGCAGGGCAGGCTCGCGCGGAACAGTATTGCATAGGAGATCATCGTGCTATATGATGAGAACTTAGTATCGTTGAAAAGCGGGATTTCTGTTGTTTTGTGATGAGGTGATTTGGAGGCCAGTATTGTAGTCATTTCAATGCGCTAGCTTGGTTCCGATAGTCACGAGATGGCTAGTATTAAGTGGTATTTGTATTTACTACATGAGGACATAAAGACTACGAAGGGATTGTGTTCGAATCTGCCGCCTGTTTGGCCGCGAGGCGCTTGAGTCGGATTTTCGATAAGGCGCTGTTGGCGCTAATTGATCGCTTGGCGGCAGAGGAAGTAGGGAAGACTTGACTGCATAGAAATATATAAGCTTCAGTGAAATGGTAAATAGAAATAGAGAAATCAATACCGATTCCACCATGTCAGCAGCTCCTCAACCTCCTTCGATTCATCAGGGTCTTCGAAAAGGTCAAGGAGGCTATGATAAAAGGTCTCTGAGTCCATGGTAGTGTCGGTCCGCGAGAACACCGAGGAAGAGCTTAAAGCGAATCGAACCTTCAAATGTAAGTATATCAAAACGCTTAGCTATAAATATATAGAATCAACGAACCTGAGTTGCAACATAAGCAATGGAAGCAATGGTGACGGAGTTCATCCCATGGAGACGAGCATTTCCGGATCGTGTCGCTTTTGGCTCTTTGTCGACTGAACTTGGGGACGTGAAGATGTGCTTATAAGCCTGGCGTCAAAAATATAGTGAAAAACTATGGGAAAAGATGTCTCCACTCACGCATACCAGCAACCGGCTCCTAAGAAGCCCACACCACGGGTCTTCTGTGTCATACGTATGGTGGGCGAACAAAAAGATAGGCCATTGATCCCCACACACCGACAATTCGCCGCTTCGGAGGTTCTCTCTCATTCTACGCAAAGTTTTCAGCACTGCAGACACCGGAAAACCAAGAACATACTCTGTATTGTTCCAATCCAACCCAGCAGGACAAAGTAGTGATCCGGTAAGCTCGTGGTTGAATCCGCGATCAATCTTCGAGTTCCTGTGCAAAGGAGGCTGGATTGCTGCGTCTTTCGGCGTAATCCAATCAAGTATGGCAGACTTGAGCGTTTTTGTGTCGTCGCCTCTCGCGCCTGCAGCTCCTTTACCGATCTGAAACCCATCAGTATGAACTCTGACCACGCAAAAAAACAACGCACTAGCTCTCCAACATGGAGGATTTCTTCCTCAGACCCGTTTTGTAGGCGCTCCAAAAGGCCGGGATAAGACTCTAAGAGCTGTTCAAAGACGCGATGTTCTCGTCGTTCTCTGCCAAACGCGTCAGTCAACAGGCTAGTTAATAAGGATGGTGTTTTTTCACTCAGCGGAGAAGTCCTCCAGTGGGGTATTTTCCATTTGTTCTAATCTGAGGATACCGTTGGTGAGTAGAGAGGGGTAGTTACACAGCGCGAATACGGTTCGACCAAAGTGACGCCCGTGGGATATGAGAGGATCAGACGTAGAGCTGTGCGACAAGGTGAGCATACAAAGCCAGAGCCAAACTTAATCAACTTGCGCTTTTTTGCGAGGCCCCAATTGCAGGGCAGATGCAGCGCGTTTGCTTGGAATGTTGGAAGTACCTTCGGTGGTCATGAGAGAGCCGGCAAAGATTAAAATGTAACTGTATCTGAGCAGATACTAGGACCTAGCTTTTTATCTCCAGTACTATGCCGCGTGGGATTCCAGGTAAGCGGTGTACCTGATGGCCGCCAAGCAGAGACCAAGGAGACTGGCCGCTAAGCACTGGCCGCTGTGCTGGCCGCTAAGCACTGGCCGCAATCCTGGCAGCTATGAAACCGGGACCGAATACCCTTCCGTCTAATCAACGGCAATGAATAAAACAGTTCAAAGAAGCGCTGAAGAATTACCAGAGGATAAAAGCTCCCTGGCCAGACTAAAATTGCCATACATATTCACCACTACGTCCAACCCGAATGTCACAAACCTTGATTCAAAGTCAAACCTTGAATCTATCTGGATGTGTTATTAGTTTGAACCTTCGGTGAGCCTGGTAACCCACTGACAGCAGGACGTGCTAATTGTGTTTTAGGATTGAGTTGGCGAGCAAAGTCAATGGGGGAGGCGAGCCTGCAGAACTCGCCAGTGTAAGGTACATGAACACCACCATCAATCAGTTTCAAATCTGACCGTATATCAGCGACGCGTATGTCGTCAAGAACAGGCCCTCAACGGAGAACAAAGATCTGCCGGAGCACAACCGTGAAACCCACGAAGAGTCCGTGGCCGAGCTCAAGGAACGACTGCGACTTGCAGAATTGAATATATCGAAACTGGGAGAGCTGTATCGAAAATACAGACTGCGTTGGCTAGAGGAAAATCATCGGGCAACGATATTGGAGGAATACGCACCAAATGGAATCAGTACTACCTCTCCTGGCCAGATTATATGGAACGCCCCTTCTCCCTTTCCAAGTATGTCCGACGCGTATACGCCTAAAATAAACTGACTGTCTTTCTTAGCTAATGTCAACGACCCCGAGAATCTAGAAGAAGACATACCGTAGCATTGTCGTGTAGTATTACAGTCGCTGTACAGAAGATGTCAGTGACTCTTCATGGGGCAATTTTGTCGTTATTGGACCTTGAAGTGATGAAACATGCCCGAAAGAAAAAGTTCTTTTCCAGAGTAGGCCCGAATCAATTGTTTTGCCCGCGGTGAAGGAAAGTCAACTGAGTTCCGCCTAATCCAGCGGTTCGATGTCGATATGCCGAGCGACGTGCAGGTCACGAAGGTAGTGGAGGAGGGACGACAACTGATTCATCATTCGTGAGCCAGCTGGCGTTACCACGCCGGCTGCGAAAGCAGATTTTCAACTGAGATACGCGAGCTTGTAGGACTTTATTCACGAAGTGCAAAAGCGCGTAAGCCTTGAACAAATTCAGTTGATTTGATGGCGATATGCGAGGTGTAGCTGAACGGGATATGCACGAGGTAACACGAAATGTACAGAGCGATGACACTGGTAAAGCGTGATGCAAGCGAGATCAGAGCAAGCAACAATGGAGGGGGTGTCCGGGCGGGTACTGGTGCATTTGCGCGAATCGACAAATCGAGCGCAGGCGGACAACGAGCAAGATGCGTAGAGCACTGAGACAGCAGCGTGACAGCGACAAATCGAGCGCAGAGCAGAGGGCATAGATGTGGCGCATAAACAGGCGGGTGTGCGGGGGGAAAGGTATTTGATAATTATAAGATCAACATAAAGAACAAAATCAAAGAACAAAAAACGAAGTTGGCGTTGTGGGATGGATTGATGGTTGAGTTACACAAAATTAACTATGATCATGATGCTCGTGTGATGGATATGATGCAGGCGGGGGTTAGATGGTGTAGGTGTCCGTAAAATGGATATGCGTTTTGAGTGATTATTAGCCGTGATGATGTAGAAGATTGAACGAGGGGGTAGGGACCATGCACGTCGTCGGCCCTATGAGTTTTCATCTTTGAAATCCTCGTCGCCGTCCATGCCTGCTGCTGCTAGCCGCTCCCTTTCCGCCCGATTCTTTGCACGAATAGCTGGCAACTCATCCAAAAGAGACACCTGCTCGCCCTCTTCCCACCGCTCCAGAGCCCACTCTCGTACCAGTATGCTCACCTGCAAGATGACTAGGTCAGCTACTTCAAACGTGCAGCTCATTATGACGCACCTTCATGAATCGCTTGCCAGCGTATTTCTTGTAAAATGATTCGTGACGGACAGGTTTGAGAATATAGTTGAGCATCAGGTTGGCGGTCGGAATTATGGAGCTTTCCGCATACGACGAGTAATGGGCATGATTGGGAGTCTAGAATCCGAAAATGTTATCAACGAGATCAAAATGTGGCATACACATGACGTACCCATTTCGGGCTTCATACCTGGATCCCGCGTCTACGTGTAGTTCAACGGATCAAAAATGACCGGGAGTTGATTCTTGCGGCCAGAATGCTTCGTCTGGTAGTACTTGGAGAAACGGCCGTATGTAGCAAGAATTTCGGGAGGAATGATGAAGTCGTTATTGGGTGCGCTGAGCGGCCAGAAGTTCGTGCCGAGAACCATGATGGAGAAGTTGATGTCCATATCCTCGTGGTTCTGCATACGCTCCTGGAACTGATCAGTGAGGTCTTTACTGAGACTCATGTCTACGAGAAGCAAGTAAGCGACCGAAAGGTGATGGATGGAGCATGGAATGCACCTGTGAACATTCTCTGCAACTTGTTGGTGTACTCGAAACCACAAGCCTCCTTCAGCTTGGAGATCATGCTCGCCTCGAATTCGTCCGATGCAGATACACCGTGAATGAGGCGCTTAGACAATTTCGTAGCGTAGAACGTCTGGAAGACGTCCTTGTCCTCGATGTACTTGAAAAGTACCATCTACGCACGCAAATGAGAAATCAGCACAAAGCCATCGAGCGAGATACTCACAACGTGGTTCAGGGCACCTTCAAGGTCCTCCCTCCTCAGCCATCTTGTTATTTTTGCGCAGCAACATATCCGCGTTGTTGGCGAGCAATTCTGGTGACTTTGTTGTCGATGAACCTGTCGCAGCATTGCGGTTGACGAACTCTCTGCATGCCTTATCGAGCGACGCAACGAATCCAGCCTCTCCTCTAAAGCTCCACGTCACGGTTTTCCGAGTTCTTGCGATGAACCTCAAGCAATGCGTCGACGTATGCTTTGGGATCCAATGAATCTGCACCCTCTGATCCTTCGCCCAACAGTTTTGCAACAGCAGCCAGACAGGACTTCTTCACATGTTCCTCAAATTCTTTCTCAAAGGCTCCAGGCCTTCGGGTATGCGCGATAAACAATGCGTACATCCTCTGCAGGTCTTCGTCTTTGTCAAAATCGAGCAAGCTTTGGAAGCTCTCCCAGTCAGAGTGTTGTCGGATCAGCACATGCTCACATTTGCTGACGAGCTGCTTCCGTGTATCAGCGTTTAGGTATCGGTCCACGCTGTCCTCTTCCTCCTTCAGGCGCATCTTCGGCCTTTTTCAGATTGTCAGATACACTGCTTTCTGCGAGGAATGCCTCGGACTCCTGCTCGTAGTACTTTTCCGTTGCGTCAAGGAACGGTGTCTCCAGATGCTCCCTGTAGACATCAAAGGGACGCTTTGTTTGATGTCCGACTCATCAAGACCCAGCGAAACGAATGAGTCGACCACTGTTTCACAAGACCTTGATCGATCGTCTCGCCATTTTCTTTGGTGCTCAATCAATCTGAGGATGGCACCAGCGAGCTTTGTGTGTTTGCTCTGGACGTGGAGGAAGAAATTCGATTTCCACTGCACGAGCGCGAGCTGTGAGAGGCGATCAGTGTATGGCGATCAGCATGACAGCGTGGAGAAAAGGGGTGACGCACCGTGTATACAGGATATACGCCTTTCCGACCTTCGTCCCGTTCTCGCTTTACCCAGTGGCGATTGAGGTAAGTGAACAATCAATTGATGTAGTTGGCACCTGTAGTGTATCTGTCCCATTCACTGGCGTTGTACCATAGGAGAGCTTCATCTTGGAGGCTATCGGATTGCTGCAGACGGACAATAAGAATGATGTCTGATCGCTCGTGAGATCAGAAAAGGAAGTCGACGTACATCCTTGAGGAGCTTGAGATGGGCGATAAATATCGTATGAGGTTGTTGTACAAATCCGAGCCCATTAGATTAGCCCCTGCTGCTGAGGAGTCAGACTGCGGCCAGGAATTGTCATCACTGTCAATGACACTTACTCGTCGGCTGCCCTGCCCAACAGAATCAGTAGTGGTACTATGCACGCGCGAGGACGTGTAGCAGTTGTATGCCGCTGTGTAGAGGCTCATGTACTTGGAGTAGGAGACGCCAGTCTGGAGCTTGGTCATGATGTGGTCTACTCCGTCCTGAGTACATGGCAATAAATCAGCCTAAGCAACGTAGACGAGAGCGAGAACAAATACCGTCAGCGGCTCATTAAGTTTCTTAGAGTTGGGCACGTTCGGGAAATGGTAGCATGTGAGGTTGTTGTGCTGCGGTTTTATTTGCGTTTCTGAATCGAAAATTGTTTTCAGAATTTCCTTTTCTGGATATGTCATAAATTCAAAATATCTCGCTCATCATCGACCGATTCTCTAGATCTTTGGAGATCTGAAATCAAGCGTGAAAATCGATTATTAAAAATTCTTCAATTCGGACCGATAAGCAAGATCGTAGCAAGCTCGTGAAATCATCAGAATGTCCTAGTGTGAGAGATCATTAAATATTATGTGGTATACTCTGCTAGTGGAGATATGATGGTGATCTACTTTTGTAATATGTGATGTAGATCAGCAATCAATCAGATGAGTTATGCATATTGCATATGGGGTAGTAGGTAGATCATAGCACTACTAGCTAGTGTTGTGGTATGCTGGTATGACTGTAGCGGCACGCTAAGCTTGAAATTTGAAGTGCGGTTCATAACGTTCATAGCTAGAGCAGTTTAGTTTTCTGATCGTCAAATAAAAATAAAAATACGTACACTGTGCATCACTGAATTTACGCGTTGTGCCACGCGTTGCGCCACATGAACAAGGCCGTCGGCGCAGAGGCGCGCAAATTTCCTGATTCGATGTGACGTTCGGGGCCGCGGAGAAGCAGCCGCCTCGGGTACTGAAGTCAGGCTCCGTGACGGCGACGATTTACTTAAAGCATACCCTGTTTGCGATCCACAGCTCAAATTGCGTCTGGAAAAATGTGAGATTATATTTAAACTACGTACGCGACGAAACTTACACGATTATCGCTTCCGATCTGAGGGGAATGTGCGACTCGAGTCATTGTCTGACGCGTAGTGTAAGTATGAACGATCGGGAGAGTCCGATTATACTTGCCGTGAATATTCCTTATTTGGTGTTCATGAACGGTGATATAGATGACAGAAAGATTATATCATTTTGTCACATCAAATAATGACAAACAAAGTCACGTGATCTACCCCATACGTTACCTCGTACATACATGGTAAATTACCGGTTGTATATTATTTTTAATATGTCAAATCAAAGACCCCATAGTGTTATGGTATTGTCGTCATCTTTGGGCCATTGGTCCCGCAGGCCGTGAGTTCGATCCCTTACGTACACAATATTTTAAACTTTTTCGCGGCGCTGCTGGACCGTAGTTTTGCAATCTGGCCGACGCAACGGATCTACTGATACACAAAATTTAAGTCAAACATCATTTTCGTTATATAGAATGAATGGACGTGAAGATTACTCGATCCCTATGAGGCGAATCGAGAATTTGGACATCAGAATTCTAAAATCAACGTTTTGCCGTGTAGAAGAGTGATCCATTTCTGATATGGAATATACAAAAAAAATCAGTCCAGTTTTCAAGTCGCGACTACATTAAGGCTTCGTGCAGAAGTGAGAGATGTGCATCTCCACATGGTGGCTGGGAGCCGGAAATGAAAACTGCGCATAGGGAACTTGGAAATCCAGGGCGCTATTGATTTGTATGGGCGAAATATCGGTCAAGGTCTTCACCCGCCTCACTCCCTGTATTATTGTTACTTTCGGGACCCCGTTCTTGGTATCCATACCGAAGACATTTACTTCCCTGAACGCATATAAACAATGAGCAAGATCAAAATATATGCGAAGGACACTGACCGTAAGGAAGGTAGTTGTTTGATCGCTTCGGAGAAGAGAGGGAACTGCTCTGGGCACATATACATATCATTGCAAGCAGCTGTGACTCGTGGATGTAGCTGGGGCGCTTTCAGGTAACACTGCGGCTGCGCGTTTATACCATGAGTAAAGGCCTGGTACATCTGATAGAGGCGCGGCTTTCGTCATTGCTATGTGCTATGATGGAGAAAAGACTCACTAGTATGACGAGCGAGCATACAGTACTGCATCGTAGATTGCCATTCCAGTCTTGAATGTCCCCAGGAAATAAATCCGCCATCCGTCCATGGACATCAGCAAGTTCAGGGAGAGGTCGCATCAATGCGACCCATAGGACCTCCTTAAAAGCCTGAGTAGTAACAAGATCACTGATTGCTTGTTGAATCTGACGGACGAAAGTCTTCAGCATCGATTATGTAGTTTCTTGTCTCTTACCCAATGCACATTGTCCGAGTTGAGGAGAATGATCAAATCAAGAATCCTCTGGTTTCTATGCTCGTCGCTGACGACAAACCCAGTCAGTGGAGACGCACTACCTCTTGCCACCTTCCGCAGGTCGGAAGTATAATCTATGTACGAGTCCTTGAACTGTCCCTAATGTTTCAGAGCGAGCGAGGGCAACACATCAGAACGAACGTACTTTGTTCCTTAGATATGACCAACCCACTTCACTTTCGATCTCAGCAGCGTTCTTGATCTTTACTGACCATTCCGTTAGCTATTGGCATGCAGAACTAGAACCAGACACTTACACCGTTCTCCAAGTAGCGCTTCAAACGTTGTATTGTAATAAAGGACTGCTCTGATGAAACACGTGGTTATCAATTGCCTTGAGAATGCGGGGTGCATATCAAACGGGTTTTCTGGAATCCCGACCAACAAGTGTCCTGAATAAAGACATTTCCCCAGCTGAAACGGCTTTCCCCAATATGAATTTGCCAACGAAACTCGGAGCGACTGTTTCTGATAACTGTCAAGGATATCCAGCCTAGATTCCACTATCCAGGAGAGCTCTGGGTGAAAGGATGGCGCCTGAACGGCGAAGTCATCATCCTCAAGGGCACTCGGGATAACGATGTCCCCTTCCTCGACAGTGGTAGCGCCATATATAGATGCTGTGACGCCTCGTCCTGTAGATTCGTAATCGTCATCCAGAGACGGGTATGGCGACGTCGGTGCTACCAGACAGAAAGGCTGCGGAGGGTGCTCAACCGTGATAACGAGGGGTGGTGCAGGAGGCGGAAACCCTAATGGAAAAGTGGCTTCATGAAACGGGATGTTATGGATTTTCTGGAGCATATCGAGCTATGTATTCGGCGTGATGAGCCTAGCAACGTGCTAGCAATGGAAGAACTCACTGTCCAGATGGGAGAAGCCTCCCTTTTGATTGCATTGCCCTTACAAAACAAGCTACTGATATTCCTGAGAAAGGTCGAACCGCTCTCCTAATATGTCCATCGCATCAAAATTTAACACAGTATGATAGAGCTCTCACCCGTATCTCGTAGATGTCATATATTTTATCGCCGCCAGTAGCCAGGTAGCCTATATGATTCATGACAGCATGGGATGCGTCCGCGAGATGGATGTGCTCTCGAGGCCACTGTAAACGAGCACAATGAGATGAAATAATTAGATTTGAGAATTATAGCCTCACATAGATTGGCGATAGTTGCCCTTCATGCGCGGCATACCCCAGAAAGAGAAGATCGGAGAAGCCATGGAAGGGCTAGAAACAAGTCAATCAGAAAGTCACACTTATCGGTGATAGCGAACCTCGTCGATCTGCAGGGTCGTCAGTGATGATGCGGATGATTCAGTGAAAACTGTACTTACACTATTGAACGATAATTGCGCAACTTCGCCTGCAGCTGGTACGAAGACGAAGATTGGAGGATAAAGAAATCCTGGCAGTACCATTTGTTGCATCTTGCGAGTGGGAGAGTGGAAAGGTGAAGGAAACAACACCAAATGAGACTCTAATAAATATTTGGGCGTGCCCGTTTGCCGCCTTCAACCGCTAGGCAATGAATTACAAGCGAGCACCCCCAGGGATCAGCGCCAATCAAGTTACATGCGTCCGAAACTAGAAGTGAAGGTGAGTCAGTACACGCCAAATATTCTCAATTCAGTGAAGAACGGCCAGCAAGAGGGCGTCAGGCCATACCAGATGTTAGCATCGCGAAAATCACCGCCATACCAGGGATTGGGAATGGGGTAAGGCACCGCCAGTGAAACCCGGAAGTGTTAGGCTATACCAGATATTGGGTTAGTGAAAAGTACGTTTGATGGCGAATCAGGGCACGCCAGTGATCACAATACCAGAGATTAGGTTAGCGAAACGTATGTTTGATGGCCAGGGATCACAATGCAGCCAAGAGCCCGTCGGCCAGATGCGTCAGACTACGCCAGGGATTGCAATGCCGGCAAAGAGCCCGTCACCAGATGCGTCAGGCTGCGCCAGAGATTACCGAGGCGAGTAGTGAAAAAAGTAGCAGTAACCAGCTAATGATTGGCAATGCGGAAAAGAGCCGCCAGGAAGAAGCGTCAGGCTACCGATTAACATGGCGATATTATCAATCCTCGTAATCAAAAGTATGGCATGTCGTAAACATGTCGTCCAGAGCCTGGACAATCGAGTCTGTGCTAGCATTAAGCCCCTGATCGAAGAAATCATGATCCTCCACACCAACGTGATCCTCATCTTCGTCCTGTTCATCGCCGTCGTCGTCATCATCAATAGGAGGTTGTTGGAGCGTGGTTTTCCCAAGGTTTCCCCGGCTTTCCGCACGTTCATCCGTCCGCATTGTGGTCTGTGT